TCTTATAGATATATATTCGTATCAATCTTTTTCATCAAGTGTTGTACTCGTTTCTCCTCTTATCTCCCTCTTATCTCTTTACCCCTAATTAAATGGAGAAGATAAATCCAAAAATCTATTAAGAATTCCAACAATTTTTTTCTAAAAACAAAATAATACTGCGAATAAATAATCGCTGACCGGTGAAAAAAGCAAGTGTTTACCTTTTTCAATCGACATGCGTGCAAGAGTGCAAATACGTCGTGTACTTTAACCCATTTCCCAGGACTAGGTCAATTACCTCGGCATTGTATGCGACAGAACGATCAAGTTCACAGATTTGACGTTATTGACTTGAAAATAACTCCAGTCTATTTCTTTTTACTTCTATTCCTCCAAATCTTAACTCCAATTATATTAGTGATATTACTATTCGATATTTAGTACATTATTTCAGTATTCAGGGAAAACTATTCAATATTTTTTGAAGTACTTCAGTATTTTTTGATTTTTCATAATATATTAAATTCAATTATCCTCATACAATATTTATAGAAATTCCATTGATTTGTGAATTTATTCAATATTCATAGAAGAACTGCGATTCCATCTTATCAAACGATTCCTTCCTGCTATCCACTTTATAATTCTCATTTGAAAAATGAAAGAGCGAATTTTTCACCTTTTTTTTGCAATTTTGTCTGCACAATTTTGTATTTTTCCCTCCGTGTCCTTCAATTACCCCCGAAACAAGGCAAACTATAATCAAGGCTCTCATTACAGGGTAAAAAAAATCACCAGGTGTAATTTTGATGCTATCGAAATAATTTAAGGCCGTCTCCTTTGACAATCTCCGAAAGCATTTGGAGGCCATAATTATATCAGCGACTAGTGTAATGTCAGACTATTTTGAAAGACTCGGGGTTGTTCTCGCCTACGCAAGTCTAAATACACACAGGCATATATGAATAACGGATCAGATTAACGAGTCATTTCCCTCTCAATTTCACCCACTGCGTCATCTCAACGCGACGGAAAATAATTCCACGGTTTAAAAATAACTGTAAACAGTATGAATGGGTGGAAGGGGTTGGGGTAGTGAATAATCGGAGAGAAAATCAAAACATCCAAGAAAAAGTGTACGTCAACGGAAATGACCGACTATGTATGTACAACGGAAGTTGAGGGGAAAACCACAGGATTTCCGTCGGACTTATCCCGCAATCCCCTCAAATCTTTTTCAATTATAAAGGGTAGAAAACTACGTCACTCCGGGTGGAACCATTGGTCTTCATTAATCCGATTATGTTTGTTCTTTCAATTAATTATTATTGGGTCAGTTAATATTCGTTTGTTGAGTTACTCGTTACAATTTTTTACTATAGGATTTACCACACATTAAAGCGAATAGCGATCTTGTCGAATTTTTGGGTTGATAATTCGCAAAATTTTGTTTAACGTGAAATCTAATGAGAATTGCCTCATTTTCTGATCAAGGCTGTTGGTTCAATTAAATGCTTTTATTTGCATTAATATTTACAATCAACTCTACTGTAATCAATAAAATATGTGTGGTATACACACAAATATTGATTACAGTAATAATCATGTGAATTTATTTTTGCAATAGAAATGAACAAACCAAATGAAAAAGGGTATTATTAAGGGAAATTTTTTTTCGAGTCAGTAGGAAAGGTTGGGTTTAATTTTATTATGAATTTTTTTTTGTCCTCGATAATTTTTCCACGCGCACTATATTCTAGTGGACTCATAGACAATTTAAGTATGGATTTTCGAGAAAATAATCCTCATCGGGGAGTACACATTATATATTGCATGTATTGAGGCTAAGGTCTTTGTGCCATCGCTGTCACCCCCGTAACTAGGCACAATATACCCCAGGTTTGCCTATTGTTCACTAACACATTTATTGTTAGAATATGCGCAAATACAAAGAATATATGGAGTCTCACTATTATTCCCGATCATACGCGATGGAAAAGTTTTGCTTGCCAGGCAAAACTGCGAGACATAATGCCCGAATTTTCAAAAGTTCAATTGTATTATCGTTATCAGATTACCTTTTAGTTTTGATTGAATGTTGGCGGGTAAAAGCCCCAGTTGTTGCTTTCTTCCCTCGCAAAACTGCGAGAGTACACGTGCGGTGGGTATAGTAAAGTGCTGTGAGCCACAGGCGAACATTGCCAATTACGAGGTAACTAGAACAACTAGGTATTCTACCATTATCCCTGACAACCCACCGCATTTGTCCGTATTTACGCTGAAAAGAGTGGACGACATCGGAAACGAGATTGCACTGTTCAAAAAAATTGTTGACTGAATTTTCCGGTTTCTGGCCTTGACACCGTTAGACAAACAATCAGATTCCTTATAAAAGAAAAAATTGAAATTTAGGGAGAATGACCTGGAGAATTCCTCCATTCATTCGTATTTATAATTAAATATGCGAATTTACAGAGAAATTTGAAACTTTATGATTTCTTTCGCTCAAGTCTTCAGTGGATTTTTTCCGGAAAATTCACAATTTTTCTTGGTGAGTGTATGAAGGGCGAAATTCGCATTTTCAACCGCTGAAAAACAGAAAAATGATGCATTGGAAAGAGTCGGGGCTAATGAAATCAATTAGTGAGACATTGGTGTACGTGTCCATGGGGCCATTAGGGTCGCTCTTTTCTCCTGTCGATAACTCGGCTATCCTCTTCTGTTCGCTTCACTCCATCTCTTCGTCATCCTCTTTTCGAGGCCCCCCAATGTCGTCACATAACCTCTTGGGTGATGCAAATTCCATTGCTGTGTTAAAGTGCTCTCGCGTGATTTGAAGCCCAAAAATTTACTGCCTCCTGCCAACGGAGGGTCTTCAATTATTTGCCCGATAGCGACATGTGCGACCTCCTCTATTCCATTCAATATTCACCTTTCATGTTTTCCGAGCAATTTTTCAAATCTTAGACACTTTTTCATACGAATTTAGAATTAAAACAATCCATTCAAATCTACACGTGAATATTTAATTCCCTTCTGACACTAACGATCTCTCCAAAATTGTTATATATTTTTATTAAATCTTCTTCCCAAGTTGAGACTGTCTTAATACCGATTAATACGGTCAATTAATATTTCAAATGAAAATTTTTAATTGATTGACATATATTATGGGATTTTTAACTGTCCCAAAAACAAAAATTGTCGATTTTTGTCGCTTAGTCCGAGAGGCAACTTTTCACGATCGGTTCGCGGTCCCAAAACCCTGCCTATGGATTAAATAATAAAAAATCTTGTTCGTCACTCGGCCGAAGTAGTATATCAAATACCTAGGCCAGTAAAAAAAGAAATGTGCCAGATCACATGAAATTGTTGGCCGAGACGAAGTCGAGACTCAGACAAACATGCACCTGAAACATGGTATTTTCACGTTTCGTAACATTCCACGTCATGTTCAGGCAAAATTAGATAATCGAAACAACGATCTTTTCCAAAGTTTCCATTGAGAATCAAAATATGGATTATTATCAGTTGAAACGAGCAAATTCTGTTGATGAAGCTTTGGCAAAACATTGAATCCCCAAAGTTACAAAACCCCGTGTTTAAATCACTCAAACCGGTGGAACTGAAAACCACTCAGAATATTAAGCGTCCTGTGAGCCGGTTTTCGTAATCATCGCCGCTGTACAACCAATTTATTTAACAAAGGGCCGACTACCGATTCTCCCCACCCACTCCTCATTGAAACAAAGAGAGTACTTCTATCGGATAAAAATAACCCAAATTACCAGGTATGAACTACTCGGGGGATTCCAGATATTCCATTCCTCTCGTGCAAAAGGAAAAAAAAAACGTAAATGAGTGATACTCCAGCGAGTCGAGGAGATAAAAATCTATCCAATCCAAAATAATACGATAATTAATTCGGGGTTTTTATCCTTCATTTTCATAGCCATACCCACTTTGCTGAGGATATTTTTATAATTCTGGGAAATCCACGGTTTTATGCAGTGGATTTCCTGCGGAATTAATGAATTGGGCATTTATTGACATATTTTTCAGAGGTCAGAATTTAATGCACAGTGGGGACATGGAAAACTCACAATTTTCATTGAATTTTCATCATAAAACGCTAGAATAACAATTTTTACTGGGAACAGGTATTCCTGAAATACTTGGAACTCGCGGGTTTTCATTGGATTTACACGGGATTTTTCATCTGAAACTTTAGCCGACCTCGGCCCTGTAATTTTCGGCCTTTCGCCACTCCATATTCCACATATTTCATTGACGAATAAAATCGATAAATCCAGGTTGTGAACTATAACTAGTGGTACTCGGGGGCACAAGAGATGCTCGATCGTGCTCTGGCTCGTTTCTTTTTCATCGCTCTTTCACCACTTCTAGGACGTGGTGACCCCGCAAACTCACCCAACAATGCACCCATGTCCCCATTTTTTCCATCTACTCCTTCGATTTTCTCCTCTATACCCGGTTTATACTGTAGGGGAGGTGACGAAGTATCGGTTAGTTGGGAAACTGAGTTATTCACTCGGATTAGATGCCATGACAGACAGATATCGCCATGCGGAGAGAAATTCTTCAGATAAATTCCTGTCATTCTACTGGAAAAGTCATCTGCTAGACCATTACATCCAGGCAAATTTATAGTTACATTTATCTCGACATTCAGTAATCTATCAACGAATAAAAACCATCAAAATATTATAACTTTTACTATCTGAAAAACGACGACTATATCGGACAGTAGAAATTATCACAAAATTTCGAATGTTTATATATTATATTATCAATCTCATAGAAAATCAATTGAATTGAAAATTGAAGCTGCTTGAAATAAATGAAATGACTGAGATGAATATTTATTAATAATGAAAAGTAATTTTTCATCGTGCTGTGTATTAAATAATAATTTATGTCATATCGAAATGTACTTGATATCAACGAAATTAACTGAAACACTGTGCGCAAAGTGACATTTTTTTTTGGTATTCCAGGTTGGCAGCAGCGCAAGAGGCGGCACAAAGGGATCCTGGATACGCGAGTCAGTACAGGAGAAGGCAGAGGTCGGCCGGACTGAGTGGTCTCGGTGACTGGGCTAGCTTTGGAGGGGAGGTAAGATATGCAATTCACTAATGCCACTTGCCAGAAGATTAAAAAAACCGATAAAAATCAGGACGAGGCGATAATCATTTGAGAGGGGCCAGTGCAGGAGAAATCTTTCAATAAATCTATGGTCTAGCTTTGAGATTGAAATCGCCACCTCGCGCGTCATTATACACTCAAATCGAAGGCCCTTTGTACAGCGGGTATAGGCCAACATGTAAGTCGGCTCACCGTCGGCTATTTTCATATGAAAAACACATCAGCACTATCCCAACTATAGGTATGCACCCAGAGAAAAAATTATTTCTTATCAAGAAGATTTATTTGATGCAATCAGATTTGTTTGTCCAAATTTTCAACATTGGAAAATCTATATGTTTTTCAATATTCCCATTTTTGCATTATTTGCGGCAAAAATTATGTTTGAAGAAAAAAATGAATCCAAAATCTTGCGGTTTAATTTAATTTGCAAATTAATTTTTACATTACGAATTGCAATTTTTATAATAAAAAATTGCTATTGCTTAGGCATGATTTTTTGGAGCAACAATTGCATGAATTTATGAAGAGAGTTTCAGTAGAATTTATGAATATGATATTGCAACTCAAGAATCTCTTTCAGTTGAAAGAATTTTTTTCCATCAGTGTGGGAAATACATGATTTATTGATTCTCCGACTTTTTAAATTGACAAGAGAATATTTTCTTGTATCGAATAAATCTTTATTGTTAAGAGAAGTTTTTTTCTCTCGGTGTATTTCTGACGGGTCCGACCGTGTACGATTTCTACTACTGATTCGGTATGTGTTCGATGCGATTTAAGACTTGATTCACATTGACATCCGGCCCGATGCTATGGACGGAATAACGCAACTCAGCATCGCGGTTATTTCATTTTTCAGGGGTCGAACTTTTTTAGATCTATAGATTCCAGAAATTGGCGAAAGTCCGCCATAACTTCGTTGGGAGTTTGATTTTTATCCGAGCGTCTTATTTTTAGATTGAATTGTGATCACAGTGTTGTCAATTGACATGAATATCTCGTAATTTCATTTCTCAAATCAATTTCTTTCCAATTCTTTCAAAGTGATATTGTAAAGGTCTTCAACTTCCCCGAAACTGCACTCATAATTTAATCTTAAGAATATCTTTCAATCTAAGGGAAATGGCCAAATATTCGCGATAACCTTTTTTTTAGCTCTCGGTTCACTCTCCAAAAAAGATTTCGACAAGAATTTTGAAATGAGCTTTGAATTTCGAGTTATTCATTAAAAACTAACTAGCCATTAAAATCAGTGCGATTTCAATCGTTTTCCCAGTTCGAAGTTTTTAATTAAATTGCTTTAAAAAAATCTGAATAAATTATCCATAAATAATTGAAGGACATCCATGAACTACACTTAAAGCATCTTGAGGTGAAAAGATGAGGGGAATTAAATAAAAATGGGGAATGGAGGGTTTGCGAGGGAAAACGGAATAGTTGAAATGGTTGAAATTGAGTCAAAGGGGGTTAAAGGCCATCGAACCAACTCTCGGAGCGACCGGGGCTAGCTACCGGATATTCAACATCCGGAATTCTTCATCCAGCGGAAAGTGGCCCAGGGAAGGTCTATAATTAAGCCGAAAATCATTTGGGCTCCTCGGTTTACTGTTTACACCACTAAATCGCGGAATTCAAATGGAGAAATTCATTTACTTTGCAAATTGTCGGGAGAGATTTCCATCTGCATTCACCGGAAGTCAATTCATTTTTTATTCCCTTCAATCATCTAGTTCACTCGTAATTGTTGCTGAATAATGAATTTTCAATGTTCATCACTCATCCAATGATTATATGAATTTATCTACTGTTCGTATTCTGAGTAAAAATTTACTATTTCACAAGGAATTAATTCTATTTATGAAATATGAAAAATGAAAATTCAATTCAATTCAATAAACTAAATAAGTTTCGAGGAATCGCTAGCCGAGATAGAATAGTCGTGTATTTATCAATATTTAAGAGTTTTGGAAAGATAATTGAGAGGAATAATTTGTGAAAAATGTCATGAAATCGTTGGGAATGATTGAAAAGTCCGACTGGAACCATTAAAAATCGTTTTAAAAATTATTATATCATTCAAACTAGCAATTAAACACACCTTGAACACTTGTATCGGGGGAATTTTTCGGCGTAAAACAAAACGCAGAGGAAAAAGAGTTAGGGAATTTTGAAAGGAGCTCAAAAGAACTGGGTGGCCCACTTGACAAATAATCCGCCATAGTAGCCACTCTTGTTCCACACACTCCTAACTCAGCTATTTAACTTGATGAGTTTGAGGTGCTGCTCGTATTCGCACCGTCCTCTTTCAAAATTAAGCTCTGAAAACGACTTGACTCTGGTCTCAAATCCTAGTGCTATCGACTTTTCAAGTGACTACAACTGTTCTCCCACATTTCTCACTTTGTTTCGGCTTATTCATAGGGCTGATGTTGTAATCACATAGGTACTCAATGAGCCCTATAAACTTGCGTTGAAACAACTCGACGGCAGTTTGCTCCGTGCCTAGTTACATCGTAAACTAATGCTCCAAGTACTAGTACCGTTTAATGCGTCGAATCCATTGTCAACTGCGTTACACAAGTTTTCGGGGGGGTCGATGGGGGGAGGGTTGCAGGGTGAATGCGTAGGAGAATTGTGGGAAAGTTGATAATTACGGTTGGCAATTAATTAATGTCCGAAGCAATTTGCTTTCCTCAATCTGATGATTATTGTTGTAATTAATGTAATAAATAGTTAATGTTGTAATAATTGAATTGAATTGTTGAATTTTCCATAAATTAAAATAATGTAAAATAGTAATAATGATGAAAAAATATTTTCAGGGACCTGGTCTGGTGGTAATGGCGCCAGGCCGGGATCAGGGGGGTGGGGCGGCCGGCGGGGGCACTAAGGGGCCCACGTCATTGTTTATCCTGTCCGAGGAAAACTGCATAAGGAAACACACGCGTTTTATTATCGAATGGCCGCCCTTTGAGTACGCCGTCCTTCTTACCATCATAGCCAATTGTGTTGTACTCGCCCTCGAGGAGCATCTGCCCAGATCGGACAAGACCATACTAGCCCAGAAACTCGAATCAACGGAGATTTATTTCCTTGGAATTTTCTGCGTAGAGGCGAGCCTCAAGATCCTGGCTCTTGGCTTTGTTCTACATCGTGGCTCGTACCTTCGTAACATCTGGAACATCATGGATTTTTTCGTCGTGGTGACCGGGTGAGTCTAATATCAAAATCAATTTTCATTTATATCTGTCGCTGTACTGTTCAACGTTTTCAGCTTATCCTTCGAGAATTTTTTTCAGAGGAACGGATGAATTAATAAAATGAAGATCAAATCGATCAATTAATTTATCCACTCGTTTTTATCAAGATCAATATTTTTTCGTTTTTTCTTTTTCCATTTATGGCTTTGCTTACATTCAATACAAAATTATTCAAACTTGATAAACCACTTATTCGATTTATACAACTGTTTTTCTCGGTGCAGTGAAAAATTTTGAACAGTAAAAATGTTCAGGAGATTCTGAAATATTCTTCTGTCAATTTATATTTTTTTATTCCGGGCGATATGTCCGAACTTGATGTCCTATGATTGTCCTTTGCCAATCCTCACTCCCTCAATTGTGATAAATGAGACGCGACAAACAATTGCACAGTTTTTATCGTAATATTCCGTTCCACTGTCTCTGATCAACTCTGTCAGAATTGATTTTACCGTGAATTAATTAGAATCAGTGAAACCGAGTTACGATATTTCTGGATATGTCATGGACTCGAGGAGAGCCAAGAATAATTCCCCAGACGGAGCTCCTGAAATCGATAAACACTTTTTATATCGAACGAAACCATTGCCCTTTTCTTAGCAATTCAATTGTGCATTTCATGTTCATTAACACATATTCACAGAGGTTTCTCAAATTATAAAAAATCCACTCCGAACAAACTATCTTCCCGCAATATACACCATTTTTCCCCAACAGTTCAAATTCCTTTCAAAAAATATCTTCTTATATTTTCTCCTAGAATAGTAAAATTACCGGAGATTTTTACTGAAAAATATGATGAGTTAGTGAAAAATAGAAAATTTTTGTGGAATTTATTCACAAAAATCTCCATTCTTGAGGTGATGGTGATTTTTTTAGATAATGAAATTCAACAAAAAATTTTACACCCCGTTTTTTCACATGAATCGTTTCTGATTTTAATGGATTCCACACATTTCCCTCACTCACAACCATCCATTGAGTTCCCTGAAAAAGTCTCGTTACGAAGCCAAAAAAAAAAAATCAAAGAATTGGTTAGCAAAAATCAATAAAGCAGAAAATACTAGAGTGATGCTTGGAATAGGTCGATGACTGTGTTCGCCGAAACAAATGTGGACGTCGACCTGCGTATGCTCCGTTCCTTCAGGGTCCTCAGACCGCTAAAGCTGGTATCAAAAATTCCAAGTGAGTTCCAGTCACGCCATGGGATTCTCCCAATATTCGATTATCTGGAGGTTCAAAGGAACATTTAAATCGAACTAGTACTAGTCCTAAAGATTGATTGTCTATCAAAAGTAACAAGTTCTAGTCAGATTCACAAATATTCATTGGTGAAGATAGGCAACAGCTAGTGCAATTATCGGTGTTGTATATCATAGAAATATATTATCTCGTCTGATAAATAGAGGATTACCGAGTGACTAATCCTAATGTACTTGTTTATCTTTCGTTGTTTAGAATTAAAAAATAATAGCTAGTGTTGAATCTTCAATTAGCAGAGCTGTACTGACAGATATCAAGAGCAAGTGATCAATCACTACTTATTTATCTACGCATCTTCTATAAAAGCCTATTCAACTCTCCATTAACATGTATTCAACGACACTGTGTAGTTTTATTACACGTCAAGACGACACGCAGATAGATAAAGCTGTCCTGGAGACTAGAATATCTATTTTTAGCTCTGACTATCTTTAGCTCGAGCAAAACGTGAATAATTGATCTGCCTATACATTGGTAAATACGTGCTCTACAGCTGTTACGGGTGCTCCACGAATCAGTGGTTGTATTTTCTCCTTGTATTTCAACATTTTTCCATCAAGAGAGATTAAAAAATTGTTATTCTCACATAATGATTGAACAAATGCCCAATCTGGTCTCTTTCGAGGGACAAGAGTAGAAGAAGAAGCCGGTGTTGATCGAGTTTATGATACATTAGTTAATGTTCCTATCATAAGGATGAATGTTATAAAAATTCGAGGAGATTAGATCATTGTTCACCACTTGGCTAGATCAAACGACAAGATCTAGCTCATTAGATAGAGATCAGTCTCATAGTAAGTAATTGTTGATAGCCGTCATCATGATTATTCATGAAACGCTGTCACATCTGTCGTCATGATTCATGTCATACCATAGATCCTAGTTGTTGACTCCAACTATTCTCCTCTCCTATTCAATCCTATGAGCGTCCAATAGTTCTACCATGTTTTTGGTTCATACCGATAGATTTAAAATTTGGTTAGAAATAAGTACTAGCTTTAGACGAATCTAGTGATAGTGTTATAGATAGAAATAATATAAACTAGTTTAATAGAGTAGTAGGTAGTAAAGTGTGGTGGGGTGGTGTGTGTTTGGGGCAGGTTCATCACGGTGTTCCCACAAGGCATTAGCCTGGACATGGATCTGCGCACGTTGCGTGCTATACGCGTGTTGCGACCGCTCAAACTTGTCTCCGGCATACCGAGTGAGTAATGTTTCAATTATTGCCAGTCTCCAACAATTTCATTGAATCATTCCTAATGTTAAACTGATGGATTAAATAATTATCGTCAATCTATTATCGAGAATGTGAGACAAGGACAAATTAAGAATTAGAGAGCGCTCAAGATTCTGTGAGATCCGGTCAAGCTCAAGATGAGAGTGTTGAGCGTTTTCTGAGGAATTGTGAGTGATTCTTTGGATGCGATGCCATTTGCTCGATCTTGTTTACAGGTCTTCAGGTGGTGCTCAAGTCTATTATCAAGGCGATGGCACCTTTGCTACAGATCGGTTTGTTGGTGCTGTTTGCCATCGTGATATTCGCCATTATCGGTCTCGAGTTTTATTCGGGAACACTGCACAAAACGTGCTACAGTATAGAAGATATCAGTGAGTATATTTTGGGGGTAGTTTAGAGGAATTAATGTGACAATTGAAATGTTTATCGACAGGTCAAATAGTGAAAGAGGGCGATGTGCCGAGTCCGTGCAACACAGATCACAAACATGAGGCACCGATGGGTTCCCACGTATGCAATCCCAACAAATCGGTATGCCTGGATCAGTGGGAGGGACCAAACAGTGGAATAACCAGCTTCGACAACATCGGCTTCGCCATGCTCACCGTCTTCCAGTGTATCACAATGGAGGGCTGGACTGCCATATTGTACTGGGTAACGCTAAAGAGATATGTTCCTCAGTGTTGAAAAAAAATCTGGCACCTCGTTGCCTCTCTCCACCTCCTATTATTTGCATTATTCAGGCGGAGAGGACGAGGTGGCGCTGAAAAAAAGTGCTTATTCTTCAAATTATTCACTTCTTTTTCTAACTTTATCAAATTTTTTTCAATGTTTCTCTCGATGGTGACCTACAATTGGCAATACAAAGACTAAATAATCTTGAATATTTATTGGAATTAAGTGTTCTGTCTGAGCTCCCTCTCTTTTTGTTGCTTTATTTATGGTAATTTTGCACATTAATGTGGTGTTGATTGGCTTAATTCCTTCTAACCTTTTCTTTTCTCATCTTCTCTACATTAAAATTGATGTGGCGTTCTATTCTGTGTATCTGAGTGTGAAAATTATGAACCCCTCCGATTATAAAATAGTCGGACCCTCACAGCATCGATTCCCGATGAAACGAGACCGATACCTCATGTGCCTGATAATAAAAACCAGATGAAAATTCATCACCTGGACAAAGCTAACACTGATGTATATATTGACTTTGCTCAGTATGACACTGTCAGTTTCAACCCTCACTGTCTTAAATATTACCTGAAACTTCTTGAATGCCAGCTGGACGAATGCGCAGAGACACTCGAGTAATGCAAACCTGCCAAAACTTTATCCAACAACAAACTTTAAGAAAATCAGAATAGTTTGTGAATGATTGTTGAATGTTGCCACCATCATTGACATCAATATTTTTATTTGTATTACTCGAGTGTGGAAAATGTCACGAGAATTTTTGACTGCCTTGTGCAGTCACGAGAGGAAATAACTTTTCGTGATTGCAAATGCTCTATATATTGCGTGACGATATTCAGTGTAACCATTAAAAAAAACTTTTCTTGTGCATTTCTTTGTTATCGTCAGTGTAAATCAATGATGTGCCAAGGCTAAATGTTTAATCACTCTTGACTCTGTTTATGATAAAATTCGCAGACGAACGACGCTCTTGGCAGCTACTTCAACTGGATATACTTTATACCATTGATCGTCCTTGGGTCCTTCTTCATGCTGAATCTAGTTCTCGGTGTTCTCAGCGGGTGAGTGCCACTCTCATTCTAACCAGTCTCTATCTCTCTTATTCTTCAATATTTCAAATGTCTCTCATCCTTTAAACGTTTGCATTTCTCGAGTCCCCTTTCGTTCCTCCCCTGGTCCAGATGAAGACGTCTCAAACGATGTACCCGGAAGAGATCCAACGACCCTCTTCATACGCGCGAAGCCTCGTTGACTTTGTCTCGCTTTCCATCAAATTTCTCATCCTTTGTTATCTCGTCCTCGTGATTTTTTTTTTCTTCACTTTTATTTTCTGCCATCAGGGAGTTTTCTAATGAGAGAAATCGAGTCGAAAGACGCACTGCGTACAGAAAGAGAAAGCATAAACTACTGTTTACTACTGCCTTTAATGCGTACCTTGACTGGATCACACAAGCAGGTTTTTCTTTATTTATCCGTGGAAAGATATTTTCTCCAGAATTGATTGTTAGCGATGTTGGATGATGTCTGAGTCAACCGGAGAAGATTGAGTTGAATAGGCATGTACAGATTTTTCGTCTTGAGTGAATTATGAACAGAATTTAAATTGACGTTCTGCTGAAAAATCTGGGATTTTTTTATTTAAAGGTGTTAGTCAATCTTACAGAAAAGTTAATAACAAATTCTATTTTTTACATTCCGAGGAATTTCATGTTCACCAATAATATTCATAATTCTGTTCAACATTCCATTCCAGTCCAAACGCTATAGATTTTTGATTGCCTTTTCGATGGGACTTGAATTGAATTGGGAATTATCCGACTCAACTTTTCCATTTGAATTATGAAATCGTGCAACATCGTAACAATTCTGTATTTTGTTATCAGCCTCTCAGTATTCAACAAATGAAATTTATTCGCCAGCTGTATCCGCCCTACTGTAGCCCCGCTACCCAAATTGAAGCGCCAGACTAATGCTTAATATAACTGTACTAATTAATGATGATTAGAGATGTAATGATACCCCTTTACTGCCACCCTATCATGTGTGTAACGCTTGTAGAGAGTTTGCGAAGGAGAGAGAGAAAGTGGAGAAACGACAGGAATTCCAGAAGAATCGTAGACAAGCACAACTCGAAAGAGAACTCAATGGTTACGTCGAGTGGATATGTAAAGCAGGTTAGACGCTAATAAACCAAGTGTAGAAGTATAAAAGTATAAAATATTTGTAAAAAAAAAAGAATTCTTGAGCACTGAAAATAGCTAGTTGATGCCTCTCACCGTCGGGATTTAAACTTCACGTAATTCAATATTTTTCCAGAGGAAGTTATTCTGGCCGAGGAGAGGACGACGGAGGAGGAAAAAAAGCACATAATAGACGGTAATCTCAAAACTTGAAACAATAATATATTCTTTTTACTTGATTTTTACGTCATTGATGGAATTATCATTTCAATTGCAGCGAGAAAAAGAGCCGAGAAGGCGAGAAAAAAGAAAGCAAAAAGTGAAGAGAAGAAGAAAAAAAAGCAAAAGTTAAAAAATGTCGGAAAGAGTAAAAGCACTGACACTGAGGAAGAGGATGAGGATGATCCGGGCGATGGTGAGTTGTATTTTTCCCTCGTTTATTTAGAAAAATGGGCAATTCTACTCTGTTTGAAAAATGAATTGCGAAATTATGAATAAAAATACTTATGATGGAAAATTCCTACCCACCTGATACGTGAATTTTAAACAGGGTAGAAAAAAACAAGATTTTAAATCCGTTCTATCGAATTGGTAGGACATAAATTTTATAATCCGCTTGTCCGTATTTATAAGGGTGCAAGTACATCATAGAGAGGGAGATGCAAGTCTTTAGCATCTCAGATTAAGAGGATCGTTTATAACTGTCAATGAGTCTTATTCATACATACTGGGAAGTTTAGTAAATGTCGCTATTGATTCTGTTCTGTTGAAAATAATTATTGATAATTTAGAAAGAGTGGGATTCACCCCTCTAACTTTGATAAATGAACATTCTAAACACACGCTATCAGATGCTCCTCTTGTTTCAGAGCCTAAGAAAAAACTGAAAGGTAACTACTATAATTTGGAATGCCAAGTCTTACACGTTAATTCGTAAAAAAGTAATATGGCTATATATTATCATTTTTATTCTGTTATAACATAAATTATTGTGTCATTTTGAGTTTACGTGTGATCGTTGAAGTAACAATATATTGACTTGGTAATATTTAAACGTAAATACTTGATATTGAGTAATTGTTATTGCTATAAACTGTGTAAAACGAATGACGCTGACAATAATTACAGAACAATGTAAATGCCTTTCAGAGGGATCATTAAAAAATAGGATATTTGTCACTCAGTCCGTGAGGTAACGGTTCACAACCGTTGCATGGTTGTAAAACCCTGCTTACGAAATGAGTGACAAAAAGAACTTCTCTGACGATTGTATTTACATTCCTCGATTTCGCCTCGGGCTGTAAACTCATATTCGCCAGAAAAGTTCTTAACGGCCTAGTGACGAAATATACTATTTGTAGGTAGATTACACACATAATTCTTACAATACAGGCAGAATGCAAAAATGCCTATAGAAAAATTTTAAACAATTGTAAGTTTAATATTATTTCACTTATATTGAAATCTATAGGGCTTCAGTGCATCTCTGCTGATAACAACAACTACTCTTTCAAAATATATAACAGCAGAATGAATTTCTTTTTCACTATTATATTCATGCTTATATTCTGCTGATATAAAATTCATTGATTTTCAGTTGTGGACAAAATGTTGGTGACTGAATTCACCGTAAAACGTGTATTTAACCCCTCAGACCCACAAAAACTCTTATCTCTTTTTTTTTGTGATCACCACATTTTGTATCCACCAGTAAAATTTGATGGTTTACGAATGATGGTCGGAAATGTTCCACGAACACAGCGCTGATTAATGTTTTAGCTGAGATTGAAAAAAGTGGGGATTGTGTTAGGTAGCACAAACACTAGTTGATGACTTTGGTAGTGAATTAGAAATGTCAAGATTGATTTATTAATGTAGACGAGAAATTCATAATATTTGATAGTTTCATTTCCCCATTAGTCTTCATCTTGGAAATTACACTGAGTTGCAAATCGAAACGGAATTTTAATATTCACTAATATTAGCAGATTGAGTATTCTTTTTTATATTATTTTGTAACTGGTCCTGCTAGTAGCATATTGAGATAATAGAGCCATAGACTAGTTCCAGTAACACCATATAAATGGGTAGATTAACTAAGCCAAATAATATAACTAAATATAATGCTCATGTCATTAAAAAAGAAGTGAATGCAACTTCAATCCTTTAATATTCCGTAATGGTCCATTGCAATTACATAAATTATTCCTTACAAAAGTATGAAACAGACGAGAATTTCTATATTGGACGTCGACTTTCATTATTTTGTCTGACTTTCTACGAAGTTTTGTAGATTTTCGTCTCCGTTTTGATTTCCAAATGGAAAAACTGTCATTTTTTCATAAGACTTTCATAAGATTGGGTACGAATTAAACCCTAATTTTGACAATTTAAAACTTATTTCATACTCTATTTAAATCCGACAAATCTCGTCTCAGCAATAACATTTAATATGAATCAAAAGAAATAGTGAAAAAATAGAGTGTGAATATGGAATAAATATAAAAATATGTACTTTTATAGGGTTCTCATCATCTTCATACCCGGGTCGAAAAGGAAAAGAAGAGGGTGGATGTAACGATTTTTGGAAACTGGAGAAGGCAATTAGAGTGGGGCTACGAAAGCAAATTAAAACCCAAGCGTTTTACTGGTTCGTCATCGTTCTTGTGTTCTTGAATACACTCTGCGTTGCCGTTGAACACTACGACCAACCAGAGTGGCTTAGTGATTTTCTCTGTAAGTCTAATACTCATGAATAAATATAATATTCGATACAATTAAGCCTATTAATTTGATTTTCAAAATGTTCGTCTATTTTTTCAGATTACACCGAGTTTATATTTCTGGGGCTGTTCATGTGCGAAATGTTCATTAAAATGTATGCCCTGGGGCCACGCAAATACTTCAGTTCGAGTTTCAATAGATTCGATTGTGTCGTTATTCTGGGCTCGATATTCGAGGTGATATGGTCAGCAGTTAAATCCGGCTCATTCGGTCTATCCGTCCTGCGTGCCCTGCGTTTACTGAGAATATTCAAAGTGACAAAATATTGGGCGAGCCTGAGCAATCTCGTTAAATCACTATTAAACTCAATGCGCAGCATCATTTCACTTTTGTTCCTTCTCTTCCTCTTCATACTCATATTCGCTCTACTTGGTATGCAACTCTTCGGTGGACAATTCAACTTTCCATCGGGCACACCACCAACTAACTTCAATACCTTTCCCATTGCGCTACTAACTGTCTTCCAAGTGAGTAGATTTTAATTCGATTTGTTTGGAAAATTGGCAGAGTGAATGATATGTCTTGTGGACTTCCTCTCCCATTCAAGTAGTTGGTCATTAATTGATGCCTCAATTGTTGAGAGCAACACTGAATTAACAACAATCTTGAGGCTTTGTGATGATAAATTGAAAATTCATAGTTGATGAAGTGCGCGTTGGCCATTTATGTCTAAACTGTTGTGTAAATTTCCAACAGATCCTAACCGGTGAGGACTGGAACGAGGTGATGTATCAAGGAATCGAGTCGCAGGGTGGACACAAAGGCGGTGGAATGATATATTCATCGTACTTTATTATTCTGGTACTGTTTGGTAACTATACGCTGCTAAACGTCTTCTTGGCTATCGCTGTTGATAATTTAGCGAATGCCCAAGAAATGACAGCCGCTGAGGAAGATGAAGAGGAGGAGGAGAAGGAGAAACAGCAGCAAGAAATTAATAGAGAATTAGAGACGTTACGTATGCCAGGTGCAGCACCTAAAGTTGAGATATCACCGCCAAGTCCTTCAACAAATTTGTAAGTTTCATTTACGACACGAGATTATACAAAAATACAGTGATAATTGCTATTATTTTTGTCTTTACAACAGAGGTAAAGGGGAAAAACAGGCGTCCGAAGAGAAGAAACAGGAGGACGACGATGACACGGGACCAAAACCAATGCTGCCATACTCCTCCATGTTTATATTATCTCCGACAAACCCGTAAGTGAATTATTCACATATTTTCATTCTTTAACGAGATCCAAGCATAAAAATTGTTCCCAAATCAATATTCAGAATTTCTACTACTCATCATAACAATTCCTTGAAAAAGTGATAAACATGCTTGAATCTCTTGTTGGTATCGTAATGAATACTAATGATTTTGAAATTAAATTTTTTCCCAGTGTAAGAAGAGGGGCCCATTGGGTGGTTAACCTGAGATATTTTGATTTTTTCATAATGGTTGTAATATCTCTATCGAGTATTGCCCTTGCAACTGAGGATCCGGTAGACGAGCACTCCAAAAGAAATGAAGTATTGAATTATTTCGATTACGCGTTCACTGGTGTATTTGCGATAGAGATGATTCTCAAGGTTATTGATCTTGGAATCATGCTCCATCCCGGCTCCTACTTGCGTGAGTTCTGGAATATAATGGATGCCGTTGTCGTCATATGTGCGGTTGTGTCAATGGGCTTTGAAATGGGTGGTGGATCTGCTGGACATTTATCAACAATTAAATCACTTCGTGTACTGCGTGTACTTAGACCATTGAAAACTATAAAACGTGTGCCTAAGTTAAAGGCAGTGTTTGATTGTGTCGTTAACAGTTTAAAGAATGTCATCAATATTCTCATTGTGTATATATTGTTTCAATTTATCTTCGCTGTCATAGCGGTACAATTGTTCAATGGTAAATTTTTCTATTGCAACGATGCGAGTAAAAGAACTGAAGCGGACTGCCAGTGAGTGAAATTTATTCTTTTCAATCTCTTTGTTCATTGAATAGTATTTAGCAGGTGATTGTAATATTGTAATGTTGAATTCATCCCCAGGGGTGAGTATTTCATCTTTGAGGAGGACCAACTACTGCCAACACCCATGAAACGTAAATGGCAGCCACAGAGCTTTCATTATGATAACGTTATGGCTGCCATGCTGACGTTATTTGCTGTACAAACTGGTGAGGGTTGGCCACAAATTTTACAACACTCGATGGCAGCAACTCACGAGAATGAGGGTCCCATTCACAATTTTCGAATAGAAATGTCCTTATTTTACATCGTATACTTCATTGTATTTCCATTCTTCTTTGTAAACATATTCGTCGCCTTGATCATCATCACATTTCAAGAGCAAGGCGAGGCGGAATTGGCAGAGGGTGAAATTGAAAAAAATCAGGTAACCCCATTCATATTCATCTGCATGCTAAAATATCCACAGATTATAAATGAATGTATTACTGTTCCAGAAATCCTGTATAGACTTCACAATAGGTGCTAGACCTTTGGAGAGGTACATGCCGAACAAAAGAAATAGCTTAAAGTACAAAATATGGAGGATAGTAGTATCAACGCCGTTCGAGTACTTCATCATGATACTCATCGTTTTAAATACTCTTTTACTCATGATGAAGGTAAGCATTCTCAATACCAATAATGTCCCTACAATTCAATAATCATGATTTCAATTAAGCCCTGGAGAACCCCAGATAACAGACGATAATGTTTTTCTCTCAGCCCAAGAAAAAAAAAAGAGTTCTCGAAAGAGAAGACATGACATGTGTTATATATCAGAGAGTCATTGAAATATTCTTATTTTATTATTTCGTTTTAAATTTCATGCAGATCACCCACTATTATTTCTCATCGTCATTGTTTATCCAAGCCCATTCTCTCAACATATCACATTTACCTCAACCTTTTTGGCAATATTAACCAATCCATTAAGTAGTCTCATAACCCCTCATTATCATGGAAGTTGTATCAGTTAGGGATGATTCGGTTGAGGTGAACATTCTATCATAAGTTTTCATATATATATTTTTTTTTTCATTCATTGGTACGAAAAAGATGATTGTATTTGCCTGCATTTTCACTTGTTCTCTGTTTAACTGTCGTCCCAACATTTCTGTTTCTGTCGACTATACATGCAGTAACAGTTGTGATCCTTGAATTATCCCATGAGAGACCCTGGTCATCATCCCACTATTATTCCACTTGTATGATCGTTCACAAGAGAGAGGAAAAAATGATACATTTCATTCGATGAAAATACCAATTCTCGTTTATGAGATATTCATTACATTCAGCCAATCTTCTCTTATCATAACAGAAACAAACGGTTTAGTATCATACGCCCATCGTACTGATGATGGTAACGTGCGAACAATATGCGAAGCTTCTCGCTGATTTTCGTTTATTTAAAGGTTTATTCATTGTCGTAGAGGAAATACTTCATTTATTATTTGGTTAGTCATGATGAAAGACTCATCGTCCTTCCATCACTCCTAGATACTCTGTCTCTATTTCATCCGAATGCATGGCTCGCATCGTGTCCCCATGTGTTTTGCCGATAAACCGGAAGGATTCATTATTTCGAGAATAAAGAGAGACAAGATTGTATATATTCTGCACAAAATGACTTAAACCCATTATTTAACTGGGTGGGAGCATTTGCACAGTTTGTTTTTTATTTCGATTATGGAAATGAAAAGTACTCAAGCTCCTGGTCACTTGTTTTTTTTTCCTTTTTCGTTGATTTATCTCATTTTCAAATATATCGAGTTCCGTACGATTATTATTCTCTGTTGGCCGTGTTCGAATGGTGAATTTTGTTTGCTTGGTTAATCGGTGAAAATGAATATTTCTGTTCTGTAAGAGCACATGCACACGCACTGTCGATGGAAACTAGCACAAGTATTTTTGTTTCTGGTTTTTTTTTTATTAATTGGATTGGGATGAAGGCACGATCAAAATTTTATTCGTGAGATAAACAACGAGACGGAGGTGGCTCTTGGTACGTGCTGTTGAGAAATTGTTTCTGTGAAAATTACAGCTTTGGCAATGCTCGCTTTTCCGGATTAAACTACAGATACATTACACTGAAAGAAACACTTCGCGATTATGATATCGTGGTGAAAATTTTTGCCTGGAATTTTATCCTGGAATGGAAGTTTCTCTATTTGGATAGTTTGGGGGAACTTGTTTTTCCAGGGTAAATTGTGATTGATGAATATTCAACCGAAAATTTCAGTCAAAAACCTTTTTACACCAAATTGTCAACAATGAAACAACAACTGCTTGTGAATGATTAAACCAGCACGTTGCAAGTTTGCAATGACCCGTCACGTTGTTCTCACGCACCCAAATTTGTCTCAATTACTCGCAATTATATTTCTCATGAAGAAGAATCATGAAAATACACAAAATTGCGTGTTGCATGCTGGCTGCTGCAGATAACGAATAAACAAAAGAAAGAAGCAAAAGATAGATTGATACCGAAAACACCAACACTGAGATAATATTGTTATATTTCATTGAATGTTAACATATTCTATTGTTTTGCACTGGGCGTTCGCACGACAATACGATAAACAAAAAAAGATAATAATGATATTGATGACAATTTTCCTCATCACGAGATCCCATTTATTTCGACATTGGATTCTCTAAAAATATCTGATGGAAAAAATAATTGGGAAAGAGAAAAACAGATCAAAACTCAAATCCCTTCATATTTTTCCCTCTTCTCCGCTTTAGATTTATCTCCAATTTATAAACAAAATGACTCTCTATTACTTACGATCCTTTCAATGAGTCCCGAGTACTTTTCAATTATAATTCGACAGTCCCGACTTTGAGAATTTATTAATTAGTTATTGAGAGATAAATAGCGTCGAGGAAAAAGTTGCGTTTTATCTGATAACAATGTGACACTGAAATCGTTATCTAGTAATTTTTCTCGCCAATTGGATAATTAGGATTTTCTTTTGGCAGTAATAAGTATATGTTCAATAAACAAATTAGTAAGATCGTTGTACGCATCGTTGATTAGCAACGGGGCGATCAGAGAACTCACAACCTCTGAATATTCAATCCAGCAAAAATATTCAATTCTTTGTGATTAGATTTTAGCATTGAGGATGTCATCGGTACTTACTGAATAATTAAAGAATAACCCATCCCTCATTACAATAATCACCAATTACACCAATTTGAATAATGAGCATTCAAAGATCACTCGAAATTTTCCCCTAAAATTATTTCCGCTTTCAATAAAATTCCAGTAATTTATTCAGTAAAATTCCCCTGAGATCCTCATATATTTGGCATAATTAGTTGAAACGATGACAGCACTGAAGTTCCAGAGAAACAATAGCAGTTCACAAAAGATTAATAAAAAATCTACCTCAACACAATTATCACATACGGTTACCTACCAAAATACAACAATTCAAAATATTACCTCAAAAAATCACAACAAAAAATATTACAACTGAAAAAATTATTGCTTCAATATATTACAGCCGGAAAATTTTTCAACAAAACCCATTATTAATCGAAACATTACAAGAGCAATGAAAAAAAAACAATAAATTTTCATATTTGATATATAATTGTCAATTACTCCCAATCTTTTAATCGCTACAACTGCCCCTGAATATATCAATCATTATTAAATATCTAAAATCTCAAAACGTTATGAGCGACACATCGAATATATTTGAAATCCCAGACCGAATGACGAACTCAATCCATAGAAATTCTCAGGCCTCTTTTTTAGTTTCATCTGTACTATTTTAAAAAATAATATAGTGATATGTAATATCTCGACTTGTAACATTTATCGGGCTAATATTTTCGCGAAGTAATATATTAACACTATAATACTCGGACTTGTAATATTTTTCTGGAATATTTTGAGGGGTAATATAATTATTGAATAAAATTTAGAGCGGTCACCATCGCATACACAATACACCTATTAGCAGTTAATTGGAGGGATGATTGACCTACTTAATTATACATTTGAATGAATTGAGTACACATATGTACACACACAGCCGCACAAAACACAATTAGCTATATTATTGATATACAAAGAATGCGGAGACGTGGAATGAAGTAAATGACCACAATGAGATAGTTGAGAGAACAAAAATCAGACAGACATGTAGGCTTGTATGTCCATATGTATGTCCGCTGTCGGCCGTGTGTTTGTCAGTGTGTGCGTTGCAGTACCACCGGCAGAGCGAGCTGTACAAAGCCATATTGAAGAACATGAACATAGGATTCACGGGGATGTTCACCATCGAATGCATTCTGAAGATCGCCGCTTTCGGCGTCAGGGTAAGCTCCACCCCCCCTCAAGAAAAAACCATTCGAAGTTAAATATCCAAAAAAAAAAAAAGAAAAGTCGAACACAAGAGTCAATTAAATGACAGAAGATCATTGCCGGAGGGCAGTAGAAAGATCATCTTTGGATTTCTCCCCAAAACGCCATTTCATTTCTTTCGAAATCAATGAATTACATTTCTCGGGCACATTGTTGTTAATTCCCTATGTGGACAAATGCAAAGATGACTGGCTTTTCAATTAAATGAAAGAACTGGTAAGTCTCGCTTATTAGAAAACCTCTAGAGCCTTGATTTATGAACAGACGAAAAAATATCGCTGAATTGTGAATTAATTCTCAAATCCGCACGGATACCGTCAATCTCAAATTGAAGGAAGAAAATGTTTGGAATAATCACAACAATACGGAAAAATTGATAAATCATTCACATGAAACTTAAACGGTATCTGATGCAGTTGAATGTCAAGTTCAAAGACCTCAGTATGCTGATATGAAAATATGGAACACGAATTTCGTACTGGAAACATGCAATCGAATGGCCAGAGAATCGTGACAAAATGATCGTTATTAATTGATAATAGATTTATTCAATTGTTTTGAACAATTGGATTATTGGCCTATCGATTGCGGAAGACTGGACAAAACGACACAATTTAACACAGAACCGATGCAACAGATACAAATAAACAATGACTCGACTCTAAAACCACATAATAGTAACACATTATAGAAAAAAAAATAATCCAATATTTAATTTTGATTTCGACTCTTTTCACAAACTCTCTTCAGCTATCTGCCTCTTCTTTATGTTGCCTCCATCTTTTTTCTATCTGCTACCTACTTTATATTTTATCTCACTCGATAGATGAAAATGAACAGCAATATGATGCGATTCAATAAACGCTAGATGATTGAAGCTATTTGAAAGGTGTACTAGAAGGATTAGGGTTAAATAAAATGTACCATAAAACAAGTATTCACGCCCCAGCATGTTGATACCGCCTTGAAGAACAGCATTTGCACGCTATCACTCGCACGTACGTGATAACATGATCTTTTGACTCCTCGCATGAATATATTATCAATAAATCGAACACAAATAGATTGACTTGCGTAAATGGCCTGAAAATTTATTAAGTATTGGTTAGATGGAATTTATCGTGAATTATGGAATGACCGAATTCTCTGTTGATTTCATTTCCCGCATGCATTTATTGAAGTTCCAGCAACTGATATGAATTATTCGTGAACGATTAATAAATTTGTGCATCTCTGTGACGGATTGTTCAGTATTAATTTTCATTATACAATATATTTTTTTAAATCCTCCCCCTCCGTCTACCAATAGAGATTACGATGGAATCCACATATGATTAATTGTCATTACTAATCGTCTTTCTTTCCTGTTTTTTCATTTTACTTGATGACAACTGTCTCCTCAATCTTCAAGAGATTGGTTAGACTTGCATTGTTAGACGCGTTAGACTATTCCTTACTAACATGTTGCCTATTCTCTTTTCTGATCATCAATCATAGGATTCACTTGTGATTTGGTGAATTAAGATCAGTTAATCCCCTTTACAATTACTTTTTTCGTCAAAGAAAAACTAGTTGATTCATCTCAATTCACCATTTCCCTTCTGAATTGTTTGTTTTTTTTTTATATATTTTTTTTTGTAAACCTAACAAACGGGTGCAATCATTCGTAAAGTGCACGGGCTCAGAGAGGGAAACAGGGCAAAATATAAAATTGTAAAAGATAAAAAAAACAACAACAAAAGAAGCGTTACAGAGAATTTGAGTATCCTACGGCTGTGTTGGCTATATTTTGTAGTATCACGAGGCGCCGCCGAATCTATTGGATGCCTTGAGCTACGTGAACATGGTTGTCACCCTACTTTTCCTCATTGAGTGCATCCTTAAAGTCATCGCATTCGGATGCAAGGTACAACAAAATATTAAAGAAAAAAAAAACGATGTAACGAAAGATAAAGTCTACTCACTATTCACTCTATATTTACACATTGATAAATGATAATTTAACAATTGGAATAAAAAAATAAACTGCAAAAATTAGAAGCATAAGCTATTCGTAGAACGTACAATATAAAAATTCAAGGAATAAATAATGTAAATAGGATACACCGACAAATCCACCATACCCGAGAGAACAAAAGTACTCGAGTCTGGATATTCACCTACTTGTCACTTTACGTCATTTCAATCTTTAGACCTTTATACATATATCTCTACATGAAGCATTTTTTTTAATGGAAAAAAATAATACCGAATAAGCGAATACATTTCTACTAGCTGCTTGCTATCACCGGCATGTTCCTGTAGATCTTTAGACAGATCCTGTTACTTTGCAACAGTCTAGTGTTTTCTTTCCAAATAATTGAATACCAGTTTTACTAAGAAGAATATATTCGAATTTCAATTTAATGACTGACCTCAATCTAGGACACACGTATAATACCGTTAGGTGAACCACTGAGAGTTCCATTTGAAATGATGATTACCACAATCACATGATCGCATTTTTATTCAGAAGACAATTTAAATGATAACATATATTATGGTCCATGTAAGCACACTGAAGTCACACATGCACACAAATCAATCAATGATGATCATTAATTATTGATAAGAGCACACTCAGCACAGAAGTCGACATGGAGCAACCGCATACCGGCCATGTTGACTGTTTTGTAATTTTTCATTTTATTTATCAAGTTTCATTTTGCGTTTTTATGCAGAGCTAGAGGTAGAGTGCATCTGTTGTTTGTCTAAATAAGGTGGCTCTGAACTGTCATGAAACTTTTATCTCATTCTAGTGAACTCTATTATAATAATTCATTAATCAATTAAATTAATGCATGAGTGAATAGCTTAAAGAGAAATAGTTAAAGATTGAACAAATGGTGGGAATTGTTTGCCTGATTATTCGGAGTCACCTCGAAATTGTAATGGAACTAGGACTGATCTATTTGATGTTTGAAATGGGCTAGAATTTCTTCAAAGACCCGTGGAATACTTTCGACTTCATCACGGTCATCGGTAGCATCGTGGACGCACTTGTAGTCGAATTCGGGGTACGTCAAACATGAAGAATAATAATATGAATTGATCGAATTCAATAGCAAAGTGATTATGCCATTTTTTTACAACTTCGCTATTGAATTATTCGAGATTAGTCCAAATAAGTTGTTAATAGCTTCGTCCTTGCTACGAATCAGTGAATAATCATTGATTGAATAACAGAGCGTAAAACTTAAATTGATCGATTTATTCCTGATTAGACGCAGGCGCGAAGTATAATCGTTCGATAGTCAATGGGATAACATTTTTGTTTGTTTTAAAGTGTAATTTTTTATGTCCCCTACAGGAAAACTTCATCAATGTCGGGTGTTTGAGGCTATTTCGTGCTGCCAGACTGATCAAATTACTCAGACAAGGGTACACTATACGAATTCTTCTATGGACATTCGTACAATCATTTAAGGTAATTATCTAATGGTGTTTCGCCCGTGGAGTGAATAAATGAGATTATTAATGGTTCATGTAATTTTCTTAATTTCTAGGCGTTGCCCTATGTCTGTCTTCTCATCGCGATGCTTTTCTTCATCTACGCAATCATCGGAATGCAGGTAATTATATTTTCCTGTCAAAGTGAAAAATATAACATCACACTGAACCACACAATCTACCAATCATAAAAATTATAATACACTAATATTTGTTTTATGTTCCAATGCAACCTCCATTATTACATGGATATTACATTACCTCAATAATCAGATATTCGGAAACATAAAAAATATACCATCAGAGGCGATAGAAAGTCACAACAATTTTCAGACTTTCATCGGAAGTTTGATGTTACTATTCCGGTGAGTCGAGCAGCTTGAAAGAACCTTAATAAATGTTGATAATGCTCCAGAGCAAGCTGCTCGGCAATATTAAAACCTCCCTGCGCTGTAGTATATCGCTAAACTAACAGAACATTATCGTTATAACAATCAACTCTGCTAAATGTGTTGGATCCTTGCTTTGATGCTTTTGATAGGTTTTTGGGAACATCGCACTGGACCCAGAAACATCAATCTACGAGCACAACAATTTCCAGAGTTTCATACAAGGTCTGATGTTGCTGTTTCGGTGAGTGACTGATCCTCTCATGATGCGTCCCTTCCCAATTCCCAATAACGCTTGGCTGGTGTTGATTATGTTGTCAATCATCATTCGTTGAATAATCTAATGAGCAATATTTTGGGGGGGATGAAATATTTCAGGTGCGCAACGGGCGAAGCATGGCCGAGCATTATGCTGTCTTGTATAAAAGGACGTACCTGTGATCCTAAAGCGAAACAAGACGCCGACGGATGCGGCTCAAATTTAGCGTACGCCTACTTCGTCTCCTTCATATTTTTCTGCTCATTTCTCATGCTTAATCTGTTCGTTGCTGTCATCATGGACAATTTTGACTACCTCACGCGTGACTCATCGATACTTGGGGCCCATCATCTCGATGAGTTTGTTAGAATATGGGCTGAATACGATCCCAATGCAACTGGCAAGATACATTTTACGGAGATGTATGATATGCTGAAGAACATGGATCCACCTCTTGGGTTTGGTAACAAATGTCCTAACAGACTTGCTTACAAGAAACTCATTAGGATGAATATGCCAGTGGACGAGGACGGCAAAGTTGCGTTTACAACGACTTTCTTTGCCCTGGTCAGGGAAAATCTCATTATTAAAATGCGATCAGGTGGGTTTCCCTTCCATTTACTGAAGAACACCCTCGACAAAATTATTTATTGCAATTGACTCAACTCTAATAACTCATTTCTTTTATTCAAAGAACTTTGATTCCATTCGAATAAATCATTTTTATGCCATCGGTGCCCGTAATCGCGCGATTCTAACCTCGCTTCGCTCGGTTAAATCGCGGATTCCGGGCGCGATGACATAAAATTTTGTATGAAACGCGTGCGTAATATATTTTTCGACTCGTGGGATTGTAAAACTCGCCTTCGGCTCGTGTTACAAACCCCCCACGAGTCAAAAAATATATTACGCACGTGTTGCATAATATACTATTGTGAATGCAGCGTTTATGATTCGCAGTAGGAGAAGATAATTGCAATAAAATTTACAGCATGAATTGTTAAATAATTCTCTGAAAGTTGAACGGAATTCTGAATTCGATGATTTTTTCTAAAGTTTATTAATCTGGCAGTTATTTTCACTGGACAATTAACAGAAATTTTTAATTGTCTCACTAATAATTATTGCGATCTCTTTATGCGATAGCGGATGAAATGGACCAAGCTGACGAAGAACTACGAGACACAGTGAGAGTCATTTGGCCTCTCCAAGCGAAAAAGATGTTGGACCTTTTGATACCTAGGAAAGAAGGTAGATAACAAAGCCCTAATATCCCTCCATAAAAACGGAAGATCGTACTAATTATTCCTGAATATTTACAGAATTGAATAACGGAAAGTTGACCGTCGGTAAGATATACGCTGGCCTTCTGATCCTCGAAAATTGGAGGACAACGCGATTCGGTCAGATTGAGTCGACTGATCCTCAGGTGAGTCTGTCCAAACGAGACGCTAAACTGTTCAACGCGCAATCGTTCTTATATTTTTAAGAATACTAATTATAATAACATTCACGGGCGTGCAAGAAGAGTTATGAAAAAGTTTTACGATGAATAATAAAATATGTGATTTCAAACAATCTCGTCATGTTTCATTACTGTTTCGATTTAAAAAAATGTAATCAATAATAAAAATAAAAAAATACTCATTTCGATTCGTAATCACTTGTATTTAATTAATAAATTGTGAATTATTTAGTTGTCATCAGGGGAATATGAAAATCGAAGAGGTATTCGCTAAAATTTAAAAATTCCAAATTTTTGAAAAGTATCAAGGGAATATGGATGGCGAGGAGGTATTCACGGAAATTTGAAAAAACGAAATTTTCGGAAAAATATCAGGAGAACATGAAAATCGAAGAGGTATTCGTTGACATTTAAAAATTCGTAATTTTTGAAAAAGTATCAGGGGAACATGAGAATCGAAGAGGTATTCGCTGAAATTTAAAAATTCGAAATTTTTGAAAAAGGATCAGGAGAACATGAGACTCGAAGAGGTATTCGCTGAAGTTTAAAAATTCGAAATTTTTGAAAAAGTATCAGGAGAACATGAGAATCG